GTCTGTATGTGGGATCCGAACCCTCGGCAGGAGCGCCACCGCACTCCCAAGCGGCGCAGTGTAGCAGTGCGCCACCAGGCCGCCGGTCTGTATGTGGGATCCGAACCCTCGGCAGGAGCGCCACCGCACTCCCAAGCGGCGCAGTGTAGCAGTGCGCCACCAGGCCGCCGGTCTGTATGTGGGATCCGAACCCTCGGCGGGAGCGCCACCGCACTCCCAAGCGGCGCAGTGTAGCAGTGCGCCACCAGGCCGGCCCAATATTTACTATACTTTTTATCATTATTTTAGAATGTACTCCTACTTATAAAAAAAATAGCTAGGGAGCTGGCCAGTTGGCTCATTTGGTAGAGAATGGTGCTGATAATACTAAGGTCAAGGGTTCAGATCCCTGTACAGGCCAGCCACCAAAAAAAAAAAAAGCTAACTGTAAAACAGCCTCAGGCAGGTCCTTCAGGAAGTATTCCAGAAGTAGGCATTGTTATCTTAGAAGATGACAGCTCCAGGCATGTTACTACCCCTGAAGACCTACCAGTGGGACAGGATGTGGAGGTGGAAGACAGTGATATTTGTGATTCTAACCCTTTGTAGTCCTAGGCTAATTGTGTTTGTGTCTGAGTTTTTAACAAAAAATTTAAAAAGTAAAAAGAAAAAAAGTTTTTTAAATAGAAAAAAGCTTATCGAATAAGGATAAAAACTTTTTTTGTACAACCGTACAATGTGTGTTTTAAGTGTTACTACAAAAGAGTAAAAAAGTTTTAAAAAATTTTAAAGTTTATTAAGTAAAAAAGTTATTGTAAGCTAAGGTTAATTTATTATTATTATTATTTATTTTATTTTATTTTTTGGTGCCTGGCCGGTACAGGGATCCAAACCTTGGTGTTAGCAGTACCACGCTCTAACCAAGTGAGCTAACCAGCCAGCCTGAAGAAAAATATTTTTATAAATTTAGTGTAGCCTAAGTGTACAGTGTTTATAAGTGTACAGTAGTATACAGTAGTGTCCTAGACCTTCACATTCACTCACTACTCATTGACTCACCCAGAGCAACTTCTCGCCCTACAAGCCCCATTCATGGTAAGGGTCCTATACAGGCATACCATTTTTAATCTTACATACCATATTTTTACTGTACCTTTACTACGTTTAGATTCATAAATACCATTGTGTTATAATTGCCTACAGTATTCAGTATAATAACATGCTGTATAGGTTGGTGGCCTAGGAGCCATATGCTTTACCATATAGCCTAGGTGTGTAGTAGGCTGTACCATCAAGGTTTATGTAAATACACTCTATGATGTTTGCACAAAGATGGTCGCCTAACAACACATTTTTCAGAACATGTCCCTGTTGTCAAGCAACACATTACTATTTCATTTCTTATTCCAAACCAGCAAAGTAGGTGATTTCCCCCATATTAACGCCACAGGGATCAAGACTCATAGATCCAGGAAAACTGCAGGCACCATTACCTGCCTGGAAAGGACTTTGGTTGTTTTGTCAAGTCTCTTGCCTTAGGGAAGCCCACATTTGGTCCAAATGCAGTCACCACGTTAGTTATAACATTAGCTATTTCTGATCCCAGAATGTCATGAGGAGCCTTATACCAAGTTGGAAGAGGAAATCTGTCCTTTCTTGTTCTGTGTAAAGCCCAGAGGCTTTTCTGACAATGATCTTTTGTGTTTTTAAGAAAAGGGTTACAGGGTCACATCAGTTTAGGACATTATGCACCAATCCAGGTCATCATGATGCTAGTGGGAACAAGAATAACTTGAAGTTATAAATAAGCAGAAATAATGACTAAGCAGAAGATATAAAATAGGAAAGAGGATAGAGGCCAAGATAGTGTATCAAGAGTAAGTTTCAGGGCTAGCTGGTTAGCTCATTTGGTTAGAACATCATGCTGATAACACTAAGGTCAAGCGTTCAGATCCACATACTAGCCAGACACCACACAAGAAGAGAGCTGAAGCCGGGAGAAGCCAAATTCAGCCGCAACTAGGCAAGCTGCCACCACCACCCCAGGGCCCCACCAGGGTCCTGAGGTATGGAGCCCAGGGAAGCCAAACCCAGCCACAACCAGGTAAAGAGCACACCAAAAACACCATGTCCACACAGGTAGCCCACCATAGCCCCTGCAATTGCCATGGCTACCACAAAAGCGACTAGTTTCTATAGCAGCAGTCATAGCCACCGTGCAGATGGCATGCCAGACTCTCAACTGCATTGACACAAGAAGCACCAGTGAGACAAGAAAAAAGAAGAGGTCCTCTCTCCACAAAGCATGCTCCAGAGTAGCAGAAGAAGCATCTGCATTACGATAATAGGGAAGAACTTGATCACACCTGTCTCAGTACTGGACAGATCATCTAGGCAACAAATCAACAGAGAAAAGAATTAATCTATCAGATAGAACAAATGTATGGTTATTAGAGGGGGGAGGGGTGGGGAAAGGGAATGATTGGATAAGGGGCATAAAGAATAAGTATGGTTTGTAATAATGAATATGCTAATAAAAATAAATTTAAAATAATAAACGAAGTTCCTTTTCATCACAGTTTCGATTGCTTTCTTCTCTGTGTGCTCTTTCACCTTTTGCTCATATGCCTACTCTATCTTTTTTTTTTTTAAAGATGACTGGTAAGGGGATCTTAACCCTTGACTTGGTGTTGTCAGCACCACGCTCTCCCAAGTGAGCCAACCGGCCATCCCAATATAGGGATCCGAACCCGTGGCCTTGATGTTATCAGCACCACACTCTCCCAAGTGAGCCACGGGCTGGCCCTATCATATGCCTACTCTTACATTCAAAGTTTTGAAAAGAGAATCTGATTGGTTACCATTGTCCTTGTTTGTGGAGAGCTGATTTTGATTAGTTCTGTTTTAGTCAGGACTCTTGTTGCAAATTCAGACCAAATTCAAATTGGCTTAAGGGAATAAAAAGGAATTTATTGGCTAACATGACTAAGAAGCCCAAGAATAGTCAGGTATGTACTGCTGGGGTAGCTAAGCTGACAGGATGTGAGTCTGTAAGTGCCCGGCCTTGTGGAAAGTCTTTCTTAGGGTGGAGAGAATCTTCAGTAATTTTGAGCCGAAAATGAGCCATTCCTGAAACAAGTATATTCCTGGCCCTTTTTTTTTTTTTTTTTTTTTTTTTTGCTTAAGCTAGTTTGAGCTGGATTTTTAACTTGCAACTAAGAGTCCTGACCAATTAAGTGGGCAATCAGTAAATATTATTTAGTGATCTCACTTGTAATTTAAGGGAAGGGGAATACCACCATTGTTGGCCCTAAAAAATTCATTGAAAAAGGACTCTGATCTGAGCATTGACAGAAACAAGGTTCTAATCCAAATACTAGGTAAGGTTCTTGGCTACTAGTTTCCTTACTTGAAAGTGAAGGGATTGAATTAGACACCTCCTAAGGTGTCTTACATGCCACTATTTTATGAAATGAAACCACCACCCTTGAAATACTGTGTTTAGGGCCGGCCCGGTGGCGCACTGCTACAGTGTGCCGCTTGAGAGCGCCGCGGCACTCCCGCCGAGGGTTCGGATCCCACATATAGACCGGTTCCCGCTCACTGGCTGAGCGAGGTGCGGGC